ACCAGGGCGCCCCACGTCCGCTCCCTGAGGGCATAGGTTTCTATACAGCATTCCTGAACTCTTTGCACTAATGAGCCCGGGCCTTTCTTCCGTCTCGCCGCTACGCATATGGGTCTTTTTCGCTCTCCTACTCCCCACGGTTAGTCCCTTTGGACGTCCGTGACACCACTTTAAGGAGAGTGGTATCACCCAGTTCAATTTCCTGGTCTCCGTTCAGGTTACACTAGAAATCCTCCCACGGGCTGTACTACATTCCCCACAGCTTGTATCGGCTAGCCGGGCAGGGTTCTTTGCCTTCAGTTACTAAAAGTCTCTCTACAGTACCTCCGTTCCAATTCCAATGTCTCCCATAGTCGTCAATTCCTGGATCAATAGGTCCTTGCCTCCGTGGTCTTGCACTCTGCAGTTTCCCTTGTGCTGCCTGTGTTGTCTCCAGGGTCTTGTGGGAATCAGGAGCACACTGTGTTCCATCTCAGGTTTTTTTATTCCTCCCCTTAGCCAATCCCTCTCAGGGGCTATTCCACTGTCCCTATCAGCATCAGGTTTGCCCAGTATTTTTCCAGGAGGAAGCTTGTGTTGTTTGAGGGGTATGGGAGTGCCGAGCTAGGTTTTATGGGCCCTTATCACTTCTTTGTTCACTCTCTAGCTCTCCCTCTTCCTCCCTTGGACAGGCTAAAACTAGCTCAGAGACTCCTCACACCTCCAAGTATCGATACCTAATTGCTTCCTGAGCGACTTGGGTGTGACTGTTGTTACTGACTGTTCCTGCTAGACTGTATTCATTAGAACAACTGCAGGCAACATTGACACCATCCTGGAAATCAACATAACCCAGTCAATCACAGCCTGTAACTGCCTCCGTGGCCCACATCCTGCAACACTAATCAACATAACCCAATCAATCCCAGCCTGTCACTGCCTCAATGGCCCATATCCTGCAACAGATACAGTACATGTGTAATGCAAGTGATGGAACACAAGTCAGTGAACAGATGGGTGGACTAGAAGTGGTCCTGCATGAGATTTGAACTCTACAGTGGACATCAGAAGACACTGTAACAACCTGCAACCTTGTTACTGAGGTTAAGTGCCCTGATGCAAAAGGAAGGAATGATTTACAGCTTGCTGTGGTTTGATGGAATTTAGTCCAGCAAACCACCACTAGATATCAGCTGTATTTGCTTGGGGCAAAAAGTGTTGAAAGTCAAACCCACACTAGTTAAATATCAATTGTGTAGGGGTTAAAGGAGTGAAAACCCTTCACCATAACAAACAGGGCATATGCAATATTTCAGAGGAACACAGCATGGAGGAGAATTAAGTGATCGGTATTTTTGTATTCTACAAATGGAATTGATTTTAGTACTGTATGTTGCTTGACATTATTCATATTGCCTGACACAATAATCCATGGACTGTAAGTGCTCTGTCACTTCACATCACCCCTGGTGTTCAATGGTTACAGTTGGGTTTAGGGAGTGAAGCCTAAACTGGTAAACTGATCCAGTGTCCATCCCTTTCTCCCAGATCACCGGGAGCCCCGGATTGTGGGGGGTGAGGATCCTTGCTCTGGGCGAGTGGAGATACAGTTTGGAGATGAGTGGGGGACACTGTGTGACTCAGGCTGGGACCTGCAAGACGCCAGTGTGGTGTGCAGACAGCTGCAGTGTGGAGAGGCAGTGGCCATTCCTGGAGGGGCTCGCTATGGGGAAGGGAAGGGCCCTGTGTGGGACAAGCAGCTTGACTGTCAGGGAAATGAGTCCATTGTGTTCGAGTGTCCAGTGTCCACTGAGAAAACACAAAACTGCTCCCACAGAAACTACGCCAGTGTTGTCTGTTCAGGTTTGAATATCAATTAAGCTGTTTTTATAAAAAGCAATGTGAGAATAATCTTAAAATCAAAATTAAACACTAAATCATCTTTCATTTCCATATAGAAGAACTGCAAATAGAACTGAAAAGAAGACATTATTTTTCACATATCACATTTCCAGCTTCAGTTCATGCGAATATTTCTGTGTAACAGTGTCACATTGTAATGTCCCAGGACAGGAAGGTCCCAGGTTGGTGGGGGGAGAGAGCCGCTGTGCTGGGCGAGTGGAGGTGCTCCATGGATCACAGTGGGGTTCACTCTGCGAGCGCGACCTGGAGTGGCAAACTGCTGAGGTAATTTGCAGACACCTCCAATGTGGGGGAGTCAAGGCCACCCCTAGAGGAGCCCCCTATGGAGTGGGAAGTGTCCCCCTGTGGAAGGACAGATACCAGTGCAGTGGGACAGAGGGGCGCCTGGGGGACTGCCCTGTGTCCTGGGGCCAGGAGGAGTGTGAGCAGGTCAGCGTCGCCAGTGTGGTCTGCTCAGGTACAGTCCACTGTCACTGTCTAAAGAATATTGACCAGCACTGGACAACTGTAAAACTGGATGTATTAATATTTGAGCCAATATTTGATTAAAACATTCATTTGATGTATTTGATCATTCGGTAGTATTTGCTTAGTGATGAACAGACAGACTTCTGGGGAATTCAGGAAGAGCAGATGTGTTATAATTACTGTGAGGAAGGAGTCAGTTGTGCTCCTTGTCTTTACAGATGAAGACTGGCTGGTGCGTCTGCAGGGGACAGACAGTCATTGTGAGGGAAGGGTGGAGATTCTCATGAGCGGCTTGTGGGGAAGAGTTTTAGACTCAGACTGGGATTTACAGGATGCCAACACTGTCTGCAGGAGCTTGAGCTGTGGAAGCACTCTGATGGCCTACATTTCTACTATGTATGGTGATGGAAATGAGCCTGTGCTGTTAACTGAAGTGGACTGTAAAGAAAATGAATCTGTGCTACAGAACTGCTCTTTCACACTGAGCTCTGGATCAGTCAACACCAGTGGGGGTGTGGGGGTGCTCTGCTCAGGTGGGTTTTCAAATGTTACTGAAAGATTCATGTATGGTAGGACATTTGGGTGTTGCTATATATTCTCACTAAATGTTGAAAAACAGTCAGTAATTCAGTAAAAATATTAAGCAAACATCAGGACCTTAAATATTGTACACAATGAAAAATGAAAATAAATTATTATGGAAAGGCTGGAATGAGATTACAATATTAACTTGATGGGGGTCTCTGTTGACAGAGCACTGGCAAGTGAGACTGGCTGGCGTGGGCAGTCTGTGTGCAGGGAGAGTGGAGGTGTATCATCATGGTGCCTGGGGCTCAGTGTGTGATGACTTCTGGGACCTGGCCGATGCCAGTGTGGTGTGCAGACAGCTGGGCTGTGGCCATGCGCTGAGAGCTGCAGTATCAGCTGAGTTTGGTGAGGGCTCTGGACCTGTCTGGATGGATGATGTCAAATGTGAAGGAAATGAATCTGCACTCTGGAACTGCCCCAGAGAATCATTGGAGAAAGGAAACTGCAGACACAAAGAGGATGCTGGAGTGGTGTGTTCTGGTAAGATGTACATGACACTGTGAGAAAGATCACAGTAGAAATTCCTTTTGTTTTTTATGTAACAGAAAACTTAAGTTGTATTTTTTCCTGATAATGCACTTTACTCTTGTACAGTTCTGAAATATATAGCTCCTGTTTCTGTATCCTGCAGTTTGTCTAGCAAATTATGTTATGGTATTGTACATACAGTATATCCTGTAATTAAAATAAATCATAACTTACAAAAATCTATTATCAACCTAAATTATTAGAACCCAATATACTGTATTACATCAATTTCTATTACATACTAGGATCTTAGTGGAGATTTTACTCTGATAATGGTTGTGTCTTCATTCTGCAGAGCACAAGCAACTCCGACTGGTCAGTGCTGAGTATGACTGTGCTGGCAGGCTGGAGGTGCTCTACAATGGCACCTGGGGCAGTGTGTGTTCCAATGGAATGGACTCCTTCACTGTTGACTTGATCTGTAAGCAGCTGCAGTGCGGAGACAGTGGTGCTCTGCAGGATGGACAACAGTATGAATCAGGCTCTGGTCCCAAGTGGTTAGACAATATGAAGTGTCTTGGACATGAGTCTGTCCTGTGGCAGTGCTCTTCTTCACCATGGGGGCATAATGAGTGCCAGGATTCTGAAGAGGCAGAGATTCAATGTTCAGGTGAGATTTTAGTTGATGATTGGATGTGCAATATATATACTGTATATAGAATTAACATTGGACAATTCTGTCACTTTCAAGGCTTATACAGTAGCCTATAAGATAACTTTATTAGCCATATACAATTTCTTGCATTAGGAATTCATCTTTTCACATACCCCAGTTTGATCTCCATGAGACACAGACACAGAGAGAAGCTTGGAGTCAGAGCAAAGGGTCAGCCATTGTACAGCACACCTGGAACAGCTGGGGTTAAAGAGTAGGATCCCTCTGCTGGCTGTGGGATTTGAACCAGCAACCTTCCAGCCACAGGCACAGATCCTTAGCCACAGTGCCACTGCCTATTTGGTGAATTCAACCAATGCAGTATATTGGGTTCTTATTTTTGTATTTGACAGGATATAAAAAGAAGCCTGAAACAATAACAAATGACCCTGAAGACAATGTTTGCACAGGTGAGTATTATTTCATTAATGAACAATGCAAAAAGAGTAAATTCTTTTTACAGTGATGTTGCCAGGAGATGAACCTCTACTGGATGTACTGAAAATCCAGAATGCACTGGGACTTCCAAATCTGTTAAGAGAAAAATAGAATTAAGGTGTGCTGCACAGATAAGTTTGTCTTACGTTCCTCAGTTTACTAGTTTTGATCTGAAACTGATGGAGATGCTTTCAGGGAAGGTGCCTTTATTGTTCAAAATTGAAGATCGATAGTAGTGAAAAGGGACAGTTAGGATCTTCATCATGGATACCAGGAGACAAGCTTGCATAATGCTTTTTCTTAGCAAAGCTCAAACCCTGAGAAACAACCAGTTCCTGTCTGACCCATGTTGGCCGCATCAGAGCCATGTAAATCTTCAGAGTGGATGTCCTTTCACTCTTCCAAAATGTCATACAAAAAATAAATAGTTGTAGAACAGGAAACAAAGAGAGACCAACCCCAAGCACAGCACTATTTGTGTGAATACTGTGCTGTAATAGGAGGGACACAACTGTAATGTGGTTGGATAATGGTTCCATACATTCAGCTGGATGAGGAGATCCTGTCATATTGGTAGCTCCCTTCATTGATTCAGCAGGAGCTGAAGCAGTGGGAGAAGTCATATTTATTTGGATCAGAAAAGTGTTACGTATTTGGGCTTCCTCAAGGTGAATCTTCTCAAGGAAAAACACTAAAGGAGACAAGGGTGCAGAGCAGAACTGGCAGCCAGTCATTTGTAAAGGTATGCAACCTGATGGGTCAATGTACCTCCTTATAGGAATATCACAGGAGACAGCACAGGTACTGGTGAGCACCCAATAGATTGATCATCACTTTGCTATAGTGAAACCTGTTCTGCTTCACCTCTGCTGCGTGGAAGTGCCATTTGACTTTGTCTATACCTGTAAGAGAAGACTTACTACAGTGGTCTTTAACCTGGAGGAAAAGTCAGGATTAAGGCAAGCTAAATCTAGGTGTTCTTTGTGGACTTGAATTTGCTTCAGATCTCTGTGGAAATGACACTGTAGTTTAACATCATATAGGCAAGGTGACTTGTGGGTGTTTGTGTTTTTTGTTCTTTTTGGAGGTTCAATGTGCACGTTCTCTGGTATGGATGTGAAAAGTCTCAAGGTTTCTGATCAGTATGTGGTATAAATGAGACAAAATACAATGATGCTCCTAAGGCAGAAAATCAATATGATGCTAAAAATTGGGTTTCCAGGTATAGAAGCATGAGATCTCGAGGATTCTAGTATTTCAGGCTCAAAACAACACAGAATGGCTGCACTCTTTAGGCTGCTTTTAATCCTTTTGCCTGACAAGCTGTGTATACTGTTATACCATAGTTCACTCACCACCCTGAAAATAAAGGAGAAAAGTGAATGCTGATATTCATCTTCACCATGTGTAGATTTCTCCTGCTGTTAAAAAAATGTAAAGTTATATCAACAAAAATTATCTTGGCATGTGTTCACTCTTAACTATTCAAAGCAGACTACCTAAGGATAAGTATTTATATGGCAACTCAGCCGTCCTTCTTCGCTTCATTGCATCCAGGGCCGCTGGTGAGACTTGTTGGGGCAGAGGGGTCGTGCTCTGGCAGGGTGGAAGTGTGTCAGAAGGGAGCCTGGGGGACAGTGTGTGATGACTCTTGGGATATCCAGGAAGCTCATGTGATCTGCAGAGAGCTGGGCTGTGGAGTGGGCCTCTCTGCACTGCGGGAAGGTCATTTTGGAGAAGGTAAAGGGACAGTGTGGCTGGATGAGGTGAACTGCAGAGGCACAGAGAGGTCCCTGCAGGAGTGCTGTTCCTCACCTCCAGGGATTCATGACTGCACACACAAGGAAGATGCTGCCGTCATCTGTTCAGGTACAGACTGGAGTTTTTACTGCCATTCACCAAATTATGAATGTTATTGCAGTACTCATGTCATTGTTGTGATTAGAATGACAACAACACAGGCCGAGTTGGAATAAAATCCCATAGAGGCTTTTCCAAAACCTGTCTAATATTAATGTTGAGAAGAAGAAACACATTGCTTCAGCTGTCGTGTCTTCACATAGACACCTTTAGCATGAAATTAACCTTTACTTTTTCCTTTGCAACCAAAACACATTGAAGCAGCTCTCCACTCAAACCATTTTTTTATGATACTGAAGAAATCTTATCATTAACATTGCAACGAAAAGAGCAATTTATTATCTGTTACAGATTGAAAAATATGGAAGCCCATTTCCGCCATGGAGTAAAAAAAAAACGTGCTATGGTATCTCGCAATTGCGACTTTGTATCTCAGAATTCCGACTTAAAAGCTCAGAATTACGACTTTATATCTCGCAATTGCGACTTCGAAATAGCCCACATTTCATTGTCTGTCCTTTTGTTCTTGTGACGGATTCAGGTTCTAGTGCTTGTGTCCTCACCGCTCCAACCCTAGTTCATGCCTCACTGCATTGGCTCAAACCCAGGTCTTGCTAGCTGAGCTAAAGAAAACCTTTTTTAAGTAAAAAAGGACATACAATGGAAATAAATAAAAATGTATATGTTTCAGCTTTTATAACTGTGAATTCCTCTGGATGTGAAGTGTCTATTTCTGTATCTTTTTTCATATTGTCTCTGTTTTTGTATTTCTGGTTTTTAAATAAAAACTATTTTATAAAGCCCACCGTCCACTATTCCATCAGGGTTCTATGGAAGCCTCACTGGCGGAAATGGGATTCCTTAAAAATTAGTGTAATTAATTTGATTTTTATCAGGGAACTGTACAAGACAAGTCTTCAGGCCTATAGATCCTATGATCCTGTACGATTGAATATAGTGTATCGGAACGGCCGACATACAGGTTGTACGATCTGGTTGCAGTGTGGTGACAGCACCGCCCTCTCCTGCGCATAACAGGGATGCTGGCCGCTGGGGCTAAAGAAAGTGTTCTTTAGCTCAGCTGGCAAGACATGGGTTCAAGCCAATGCAGTGAGGCACGAACTAGGGTGGGAGCAGTGAGGGGACAAGCCCTAGAACCCGAATCAGTTACAATAACAAAAGGACAGGCAATGAAATGTGGGCTATTTCAAAGTCGCAATTGCGAGATATAAAGTCAGAATTCTGAGATACAAAGTCGCAATTTGAGATACCATAGTGCTTTTTTTTTTACTCCCTGGCGGAAACGGGCTTCCATAGAAAAAAGAAGTCAGACAATAGGCAAAATAATTGATTTACTTCATAAGCAGAAAAAACACAGTCCACTCTAGAAAATATAAAAGTAATTTTTCTAATGCATATGCACAATGATTCAGATCACAATATATCAAAATGAGAAATGATTGTTAATGCTCAGTGATAAATATACCTAGTAAATCATTAAGGTTGTTGCCAAATTATTATTTTTTCACACATTTACATTGCCTCCTGCTGATTTCTGTACTCACTGCACGCAGAGGTGTGGACATTACTGATTCAATCTATATTATAATAATAATAATAATAATAATAATAATAATAATAATAATAATAATAA